GCAAAGCTAGATCTTGCACTTCGTTTTGCTATGCAAGCATGTAAGGAGAGCATGGGAGGTCTAGTGAGGTGGTGGTGGGGAAATGTGCAGTCACTGACCCTTCAAGAAAATGATGTGCCAGAACTTGCAAAATAGGCCCTGGCTGGGGCAGTCCAGTGGGACCATGAATGTGGGATATGGACATCGCTCTCTCACTTTGCTGTTGTTGTGTGAGAACTCCCTGACTGCCAGGCTGGGTTGGCACAGCTGAGCCAAACTCATACAGTCCAAAACCACATGAAATGCTTTAACTTTTTTTTTTTTTTCCTTCCCATTTTTGGATTGTTGCACCAGCAAAGCAGCTTTCCACTGACCGGGAAACTGCTCATGGGGCAAGGTCTCTTGTGTGGCAATATGCAAGAAAATATGATGAGAGTGAATGTCCCCCTTTGTCCTGGAAAATACCATTGCCCTTTGGGAATTCACTGACTAGTGTGTAATCTAGGTACTGGACTACATGTCCGTGTTCTGTGCAGCGAACAGAACAACTGGAGAGGGGAGATACACCATGAAGAAAAGCTTGACTTAAGCATGCAATCCTTTTGGTCCCAGCAACCTGAGCAGAGTCATATGGGAGACATTTCTTGGGAACCTAAACCCAAATGCTCTCCTCTCTAAAATGGCTATATATGTAAAAACAGCCACTGCAGCTCAGAGTCTCCTATTATGAGACTGAAATGAAGCCTTTGCCATGTGGCTGTATCTTCTTGACAAGACCCAAAGGCATGCATCAAATGAATCCCTTTGCTCTCCTGCTTTGCATAGACCATGAGGTGAAGAGGGAGTGAATTTTTAACCCATTCTTGTTCCCTGGCTAGCCCTGGCGTTTCAAAGATTATTAATCACATACTACAGAATAAAACAAGAGAGGACAAGCCAGCCCATCATCCTCTGGCTGTGAACTCCTAACTGCAGCACAAAAACTGAACAACCAGCATGTCCTTACCAACAGGTCACTAGCGTCCAGCTTGTGTGAGAAACCACATGCTGTGGAAAGCATATACGAAAGAATGGGAATACAAGGCTAAAATAACCCCAGAAGCAGGCAGACTCTGGGCAGACTCTTTACACCCTGCCCCCTCCCCCTCCAAGCTTGTCTAAGCAACATCTGCCCTGACTGTATCCTGAGACCTGAGAGCATTATACAGGCAGGCCTTGGGCTTGTGACACAATTGGATTCTGAAAACTGCATCTTAAGTCAAAATGGTGCAACTCGGAACCAAATTGTTTCCTATGGGAAAAAGTTATAAATGGGGGATTGATTCCTGAACCAAGGCCTGATACCCTATTTTCACCAAAAATAACCCAGAATTTTGTACTCAGTCAATTACAGATGAGTAATATAGCTACATTAATGTATCTCTAATGTAAATAGCAATCCTATTGATTCTGAGGACTTCTTTGAGGTGACTTTGCTGGACTCTTTGAAGGGCTGTTGGCTGGAGTCTTCTCGGGCGTCTTGGCTGTAGGTTTTACTGGATCCTCATCTGCTTTCTTAAAGAAAGTGTCCAAGGAAGTTTGGACAGATGTTCTCCAGGGAGATGAGCGACACAGCGAACTTGTTCGCTGGTGTGGCTTGGCGTCACATCAAGTGTTGTAAAGTCAAAACTGACATCATAAAGTTGAAACAGTGTCAGTTGACAAACATAAGTGTGAAACATTGTAACTTGAAACATAAGCATAAGACTGCCTGTACTGGCCGTTCGCTGCCTGGTTAGATTTTTCTCTAATGTCCTTCAATTTTTTTTTCCCTCTGTGTATTTAACTCACCCAATAAACTCTTCACCTTTTTCAATCCCCTACCCCCCAACCTTGCCCCTCTCCCACTCTTCTGAGCCATTAATAAATGCACTTAAACACCAGTTCTGATGTAGTACCTTCTAGGACACTCTGTTGGTCCCCTCTTTCCATGTTTGAACACTGAAACACTTCAAACACTTTCCATGAACTTTCCCAGAGGTGCTGCCCAGATGCATTGGGTGTGATCAAGGTTTAAAAAGGGCTGTGCAGGGTAAGTCTTGGGGTACCACGGTTTGCTGCAGTAGTGTTGGCTAGAGGCAGGGCACCACAGCAGAGGTGACTGCCTGTCTCTGCAGGTGAACCTTGACTAGGCACACCTGGTAGACAAATGTGGAAAAAAATTATAAGGGTTATGGATGCCCTTAGTAACCCCTGTAATGAAGGCCCCCTGCACTACCTGCCACCACCACAGCAGCAAAGAGCCATTTCTTCTGTATCTGTTCATTCATATTGCCACTTGCAGGCAATCAGAAGCTACTGCAGCATAACAGCAAAACCACTGACCTTGAACTTGAGACTATGGCACCAACTAGTAGTTCAGCATTCAACTGCTTGCATAAGGAAGCAGGCATGTCTAGCTCCACTTGCTGTTTTCCTTTTACACACATTCTTCTTCCCTTCTCATGCATCTTTCCAGGAAGGCTCACGTGTGTTAGGTCTCTCTGTTTTGCTGTACAAAGTGATTGTCTTGTTTTGAAGGGGATAATGCCCCATAGTAGCTACAGCTGTCCTCCCTTCAGGGAAGATGGGGATCATTTTAAATAGAATATGGGAGAGAGACTTTGGGTAGTTATTGGGAATTAGTCAATGCCAGAGGATCATTAGATTTTTGGACCAGACCCTGTGCAGAGGCCACTTACTGCTGTCACACTGGTTGTATTCCCCTTGAGTTTTCTGTTCCTTTTTTTCCCCCCTCCCCTTTTTATCTCCCTCAAAACCTGAGTGGTCAGGAGTTAGTGATCAGTCACTGTTTCACTTGCCGGGGACATGTGTTGGTGCCAGTGTTCTCTTGGTGAACGTTACCTTGGCATGTACCAGTGACTTGATGCGGGAAGAGCCATCTAGTTGGGTATTGTGTGTATGAATATATAAAAAGCAGTTTAAAAATGTTTTCCTATTTGTCCTTGAAGTCTTAGTGCCACCTGAATCCAAATTGCCTGCTTCCCCAGTCCTGTCCAGCCACACTTAACCACATACCTATGAAACATCCCTTGGGCTCGTAGGTACCGGTGCCCGGTTCAGCCTCAATTTTTGCTGGGGGGGGCCGCTAAGATGATGGACATGTGGAAAGTCTTATGCATTTCAGGTGACAACCCTCTTCCTAAGGGGGGCCAGGGCCCTCATACCCCCACATACTCTGCGCCTCTGCTTGGGCTGCCTTGGGGAAAGTGGTCTGTGGCCCAGCGTGGTCCTGTCAGGGATTGTCCTCTCCAGAGGGGTGTAGGAGCCATGCAGCTGAACCCATTCCCCTAGGCTCGGGAGCCCATTGGGGAAGGTCAGCAAGTGGTGTTTATTATCCAGGAGAAGTAGGTGAAAGGCTGTGGGTGGGGGGGGTTTCCCCCCCCCCCCCCAAGCCTGTTACATAAGGATGTTTTAATAATAGGGGCATCGGGGGCCTGATGGGAGCCAGTTGGAGATGAGTGTAGCCTGTCTCCCTCCCAGACGGAGAGAACAGAATGATAAATATCCGCTGCTCGCAACATCCAGCTCATTCCCAGGCATTGCATAGCAAAAGACCCACCCTCATCATAAGCCTGGCTGCAACAGGAGCCAGAATTCAAGGACAGAATGAGTGTCCCAGTATAGGGCATAGCTGGCTTTCCAGAGCATCTGCCAGCTCCTTGTTTGTTATCTTCTCCAAGCTTTGCAGTCCCTCTGCCATGATCTGCTCTTTAGAGGTGTGTGTGTGTGTGTGTGTGTGTGTGTGTGTGTGTGTGTGTGTGTGTGTGTGTGTGTGTTTCCTGCCTACCAGCATCTCCTCTCCCCTGCTTGGATGGAGCTCCAGCCAGCTGCTGTTCATCCTTGCACTGTCTTCCATCAGGCACCGTGGATGCTGGGAGACGGGGCTTATTTGCTTCCCCTCTGGTTCCTACAGGACCGCCGAAGATAGTGAAGGTGCCCATTTCTGTAGGCTGCTAATGGCTTTGCCCTCAAATGTCTCCCAATGGGACTGGCCATGCAGATCACTGCAGCTCAGTGGTGTACCTGGTATGAGGCTACCAGATGCTGTCTCATTGCCCTTCAGGGGTCTCTTCTGTCTTAATACCCCCATCAGCATATCCCTTTATCCTGTGGATGCTGCTTTCTGTGCCCAGGATGGCACTGAGAGGGGAGCGGTCATCTTATTGAGCCTTGGCATAGTAATAATAATTCAAAGGATGCTTTGAATTCAGTTGTCATCCAAAATGAGCATGCCAGAAGCATAGTCTTTCCATGAAGAATAACAACAAACAGGTGCATATTTGCAGTAAACCTGTATGCGGAGCCAGAGCCCCTCTTAGTTTTGGCATGGGAATGAACCAAGCATAGCCAGCCAACATGTTCAATTTTATACATGTTTTAAGGGGCATGCATGTGGCTTCCAGCTGGGCAAATAAACTAGCAACAAATCATCTACCCTTATTTTATTTTTGGCAAACTATCTTCCAGCAGATTTTGGTGTTGCTAACTCTCAGCTCAAACAGGATTAGGGCAGTGGTTTAGAAGAATGCGTCAAAGTAGAGACTTCCTTGCAAACCTGATGTGGGCTAGCTGTGATTGGTCATGGATGTGTCACCCTATTGGTTTTCTGCTTCTTGATTGGAGGGCTCCCAAATCCATAAAGGGGGCTTAAGGTTGCTGGTACAAGTCTTTGTGAATCTATATTCCTTTTGTTAGGGAAAGGAGGTGCACTTTTTTTTTTCTTCTGTAGCCCACAAACACTTTAGAGGAGAAACATTCTTGCAGAAAGCTGATTTATGGTGTCCATAATGACCTTTCATTAGATGTGAACTTGTTGCTCTTAGTTCAGCCAGCGCTAGCAAGGACTTCTTTGAAGCCCTGTCCCACCATGTGAGCACAGGCACAGATCCGTGTAAGTTTTCCCCTCTCAATCAGCATTCCTGACTCAAGGGTAAGGAAAACTCCTCTTCATTCATTCATGTGATTTTTATTCCCTCCAGAGGTATGTTGATGGAGGGATTTCGGATAACGTGCCACAATATGAGCTGAAGAACACGATCACCGTGTCTCCATTCTCGGGTGAGAGTGACATCTGCCCCAGGGACAGCTCCACAAACATCCATGAGCTAAGAGTCGCCAACACCAGCATCCAGTTCAACCTTCGCAACCTCTACCGCCTCTCAAATGCCTTGTTCCCCCCAGAGCCTGTGGTGAGTCTCAAGCTGCCATGGGCTGCTTGTGCAGAGGGAGCTCTGGGTCTTATTCCCCCACCCCAGATTTTGCATCCCCCCCCCCCCCCCTCAGTTGGAGGAGCCCAAGTTCATCCCAGAAGCATCTAAAACACATTATGTAGGTTTTGTTCCTTTGGAAGATCCTGAAATTAGGTCCTGGTGGAGTCTTAAGGAAAGTACTTTCATGTGCATCTAAGAGGCAGCACCCAAGAAGCTTTTAGAATAAGGATGTAGGAACACCCAGAGCAGTCTGCTCTTCAGGTCTTTTGTTAAAGGCCCAGCTGGCACCAGCAACCATAGGCTGTTGATGGTGCCCCCAGTGCTAGCCAGCGAAACGGATGGTACGCTATAAATGGCTGCATGCATTTCCCTTTTGGAACAAATAGAGCTGCTGATTGGCCCTGGTATTTTTGTGCATAACAAACAAGTGAGTGTCCTGCTTAACTTGGCCCATACCCCCTCCTATTTCCTGGAGGACTTTATAAAGGCAGCTACACTGTGGGCCATCCTGGCACCTGCTAGGGAAGGCTTCCATTTTTGGCCTGCTGATGATCGAAGCAGCTTTTGTTGCACAGGAGGCTGAGAGATCCCCTTGCCCACAGCAGTGTTGCATCTCCATTCCCTTCCTTTTCTGGTCCAGGACTGAGCTTGGGAACAAGATAGTGAGGATAAGTGGTGGGAGGGAGGTGAGCAGACCTCCTGAGCCCTGCCCCACCTAGGCAGCAGGCTAAGGGAAGGGGAGAGGAGGATTTCTGCATTGCCTGCAGACCTCCTGGCACTAGGTTGAGAGTTGTGTAGTGCTGCAGTCAACAGAGCTGTCTCCAAGTCGCACTAGTTCATCCCCTCCCTGCCCGAAATGACCTGCCCTATCTGTCTGTGCAGGTGCTGCGAGAGATGTGCAAACAGGGCTACCGGGACGCACTGCACTTCCTGAAGAAGAACGGTAAGGAGCAGAGTATCAGTATTTGCACAAAAGAGACGGTGCCTGAACTGTTTAACCCCTGCTATGCTGCAGGCTGAACCTGATCTGTATAAATTCCTGGTGGTGTGAGGGGGGTTTCTGGTTGTAGCCGTGTTGGTCTAAGGACATAGGCAGGCAACGTTCATTGGGTAGATGTGATATCCTTTATTAAACCAATTAAATAGTTGGAAAAAATTCTTTGCCTGGTGGAGGGTGTTTGTGCCCAAAAGCTTGCAAAGAACTTCCATATTTCACAATGTATAAGTTGAGTTTTGAAGCCCAATTTTTGGGGCTTAAAAATGTAACTCAACTTTTTATACACCATGTCCCATCCCCTGCGAGCAGCGCTGCTTGGGCCACACCAGCGCCGCTCACAGGGGAAGGGGCTACACGCATCAAGCCTGGCCTAGTCCCCTGCATGTGGCACGTCCCCAGCCAAGTGCCAAGACTGGCACCACTCGCAGGGGATGGGGACGGGCTCAGTGCTTGGCTAGAACAGTCCCATCCCTTGCGAGCAGCACTGGTGCGGCCCAGGCAGTGCTGCTCACAGGGGATAGGGCCACACCAGCTGAGCCCAGCTCCCCGTGTTGACCTGTACTCAGCAGTGCCACTCACAGCAGCAGGCTTGGTGCTGGGCTGGCATGGCCCAGGCAGTGCTGCTTGCAGGGGATGGGGCTGCATCACCTGAGCCCAGCCCCAACTAATACACCTTGCCTGTGCTAATCTTAACCTTTTGCGTCAGAAAATGGGTCAGGTTATACATGATGTCAACACATATGCTATAAAATACGGTATTTCGCTGGTCTAATAAGATATCACATTTACCCAAAGAACCTTGCCAGGTGGGTGGGGGTAGGGGTGGGGGTACAGGAGGTCCAAAATGATTCCTGGTGGAGTCAGGAGGACTCTGCCTGTGAATATTTGCCTTAAATATTTTAGGTGGTGAAAGTAACATCCCAGGTGTAGTTCAGCATTTCTGGGACCAGAGTGCTCCTGTCCTCTACAGCCATGCTGTAAAAGCTTCCGCTCGAACTTTACAGCCAGCTTCCTTCATTAACGCAGATGCAATTGGAGACGGCGTGTGTCTGTCTGTGGTGCCACCTTGTGACAGGCCCTTTGCAAATCAAGTTTACTCACTCGTTTTGTTGGGTGTGCTTGCGCCCCATGTGCATCAAGGAAGCAGATGTAGTTTCTTGGCTCTGTGTTGTTGGATGAAGCTATGCTGGGGAAAGCCCAGCTTTTTGTCAGTGCAAAGCATAGGTGTTAGGGGTCCGTACTGGAGCAGTATAGCGACATGGTTGCTAATGATCTTAAAATGCAGAGCCTTACCAATATTTCAAATGGGCATAGACTCGTATTTCCTAGTACAGATCCAGCCCAGCATACATGTGAGGGCCTTCAGCGTGCATAGATCTAACATACCTGCATGCATTGGGACTTAGTTGGCCATTAGAACGAAGGACAGCAAAGCAGTTCTGAAAGGACTAGCTTGCAGTACTTATGGAACATGCTAAGAGATCTGCTTTTCTGGTTGGGGGAAGGCTCTCTAGCCTTGAGCAAGCGCACCAGAAATCTAATGTGATGCATAATAGTATCGTGGAGGGAGGCAGCCCAAATAGCTCCATCAGTTGCTGGCGGTAGGGATTCTATCGGCTATGAAGTTCCTTCCCTTGAGGGATGAGATGAGACAGAGTGCCACCTTTTATCTAAGCTGCCATCAAGTGAAATGATTACAGGTGTCCCTCACTTTATGCTGTACATGTATTCCTGGAAAACGGCACATAACTCGAATTCACAAAAAGGGAACTCACTTTACAATGTAACAAATAGGGATACGTTCCAAGACCTCAGCTGTCCTGACTCCCAGACCCATTTCTACCACTTTTACAAGACAATGTTGGTACTCGCCAACAGCAGACAGTACACACAGGCACAGGGTGGTGGTGAATGTTACCATAATGGGGATGGCAACTACAGAAACACATGTTGCAGACAACTAGTGAGGAGTACAGATCCACACGGGGCTGTATTTTGGTGTACATTACTCCCACAATGCCCTGCACAGGGCAGCTGACTGCAGGCTTCTGCCACACCGATCATATAAGAGTGAGTTTACCTTGCATATAATGAATTTTTGGTATAAAAAGGATCATTGCATAAGAGTAAATTCGCCCATGCAGAACTCGCATAAAGCAAGGGAAACCTGTACTTTGAGTCACTACAATCTCACTGTATACCTTCTGTCTCCAGGTCTTTTTAATCACCCAAAGCCTACAGGTCCACTACTTGCCATCAAAAACTCTGCAGAGGGGGAGGATGCAGAAGAGGAGGAAATCAGCGCTGAGGACCAGATGGAAGAGAACTCTGCCCTAGCTGTTGTTGAAGATGATATCTTTGACCACTTGCCACCCAGAGTGAACCAAGGTACAGTCTGGGAAGAGAACAGTTGGATGCTTCTGCCTGTCCTATTTGAAAGTCTATTTCCTTTCTAAACTGATCAGCACATCTCATCAGACTCTTGGGATGGGGGGGAGTGTCATTTGTGTGATGGCCATCAGAGACCTCGAAAGCCAAGTTTTTCTACTTCCTGACCCCAAGAGCCAGGTTCTGTAGTAGTAGGTTGACAGACGCTCATCCTCTTGAGACTGAGGGAGATGCATAGTGCAACCTGATGGGTTAATTGTTTGAGGAGGTCCAGTAAACTGGTCAGAAAACTCCTTTGCCTCTTTTCCACATAAATGGGAGAGGATGAATTTTATCTGGTTGTTTCCCCATGAGCCAGGCGAAGCTAGATGCTTGTGCTCTTTGTCCCTTTGTTCAGAAAGTGCTGATGCACTGTGTGAGATTTCCAGGCAGGTGGGTCAGTGTTTTATAGTTTTTGTGGTACTGGAGAGAGGGTGGCTGTGCCAGAAAAATCTAGTTTAGGCTGTCAAGTAAATGGCTACCCATGTTCTTCTCCATCTGCAGCCCTTATGGAGGTTTGTGCTGAGCAAGGGGGCCGGTTTACTGGGGTTTCCAAGCTGCTGCCTGTGCGTCTGGTCTCTGCCATGATGATCCCATACATGCTGCCTTTAGAGTCTGCCATCTCCTTCACAGTCAGGTAGGCCTCAGGCTTGTTTTCATTGCTACCTACCACTGTTTAGCATTCAGCATGGTTGGCTGGAGGGCAAAAACTAGATTTGTTTCAGCCTTGCTTGCTACACAAGAGCTGGTCAGGTCAGGAGGGACCAGTTCTTGTGAGTCAATTGTGTCTGGGCTTCAGCCACAGCCAGTTGGACTCAGTTGTTTGAACATAACTGGCTTCTAGAATGCGTCCTGGTGAGACTGCAGTACACTTCCCCTTGAGTAGCTAATGAAGCCTTTACACGTGGAAGTGGGCAGGTGCAAGGTAGAAACCTAGGATAGAGGAATGAAGGATGCCTGGGTGGAAGTAGCATAGTCCTGTCTCTCCTGGGGGGGGGAAGAGCACTCTCGTTAATCCTTGAAAATTTACTGTGGTGTTTTGGATTGGAGTGGGGAAGGGGAAGGGGGATGATCTTATTTTGCCACCCAAGCAGTTTTCTGGCAGCTAACACGTCCATGGGTCTTTGGGTCTTGTTGCTATTGGTGCCTAACAAAAACACTTCCTCCTCCCTTGCTGCTCCTCTTCTTCCCCCCTCTTTCCTCCCCCCCCAAGCTTGTAAGTTCTTTAAAAATGCGTGTGGTGAGAGTATAAATATGACATTTAAAGATCAAATGGCTCTCCTGTAGTACAGTTACTTCCTCCTTGAGTTGCATGAACTGCATGAGATGGCAACACAGAGGAAAATCAATGAGTACCTCTGCCATGCTTTTCAGAACAAAGGGTCTGCCCTATCAGGAAGTGGTGGAAGCACCATTATTCTAGCTGTTTCAAACTGGCTTGGATGAAGCCTTGACAAGGTTTGTGATAAGGAACAATTCTGCTTTGGTCCCAGGGGCTTGGGTTAGATAGTCTGCAAGATGGCTTTTTTTCTGCTGTCATACCTATGGAGAGCCATCTGCAGCCCTTCACCTAATAGTCCTGTTTCTTCCCCTCCTCTCCTCAGGCTCCTGGAATGGCTGCCAGATGTCCCTGAGGACATTAGGTGGATGAAGGAACAGATGAGTAAAGTCTGCAACTATCTCATGAAGGAAGCCAAGAAGAAGCTAGGCAACCATCTCTCAGCCAGGTATGACTGTTTTCATCTTAGCCCTCCTTTTGCAGTGGTCTTCCTTTGCCTGGAGAGGGGTGGAATGCAGGCAGAAGAAAGGGGATCCTTCATTGCACGTTCTTGTAGTCCTTGCAGGGATTCCAGGAGGACATTGTTGTGAAGAGGTACCATAGCAATGGGCATGATTTCATAGACAAGGCTGGTGCCTGTCTGCCTGGCATTTGTCAGAGGTTCAAGGATTCCTCCAAAGATCAGTGGCAGTTTCTGCTTAGCAAATAGTCACACTGTTGCAGTGCAAGAAAGGGCAAAAAACGTGGCATGTACAAACGCCCTCTGACTGCAGTAGCAAAAGGCAAGAGTAGGATATGTGGAGTGTGATTACTCAGTACTGAAGTATGCAGAGAGAGCTTTCAGCATTGCTTGTTTGCACTGTGCTTTGGCTGTAGCCTGTGCCATTAGTACTGATGCCCCTCAGGCAGCAGAATGCGCTCTGAGGATGAAATAAAGTGTATATGACCTATTGCAGTGGTTCTCGATCTCATCTATGTCGCTGCCGTGCACTGCAGCGAGGGGGTCGGGACCTTAGAAGCCGTCAGGCGGGTACTTGTGACGCTTGGAGTGGAATTAATTAGGTGGACGCTTATCGGTTGTAAAGCAAGATTATTTACTCACGCCGTCAAGGTGGTGGAAGACGGAGGTCAGAGATATTTGGTTAGTTATAGCTTAGAGTTCGTAGGTCGGTCTGCATAAGTGGTCGGATAGAAATGGTCGGGCCGGCAGGTCGTTGATTTACGTCTGAGATTGGGTCGAGACGCGGGGGGGGCACTGGCAAGTGATCAAGTTGCCAGTTTACTCTGATACCTATGTCAGAGGTCTCCAGGTGTATACGGAGTCGCTCTCCCCTACTTCACGGAAATGCAGCGGGGTTTTGTTTGTGTACTAGCCAATTGCTTTTCTTCACGTCATAAATTTAATTAGAATCGCCAATTATCTAGCGGTCTTCGCTAGGGTGTTATTTTAGGGCTACTCCCTGTTTTCTCTGACCAGTTATAATAATTTATGTAAAGCACAGAAGGCTAAGTTTCATTTCTAGTTAGTGTCGCAGTTATAAATCTCTTTTTGACATGCGCAACAAAAAAAAACTGTTACTATCATCTTGTTAGTTAACCCTTAGTTAACCTAGTGTAGAATGAAAATGCTTTAACTGGTTTTACTTGCTTGTGACATGGGCACTATTATAATTGGGTTGTGACATGCCCCCTTGCCCATGGCACAGCAAGTCGCATCATGTTTACGTACGGACCATTTCATAATCAAAGACGCCAACACTTGAATTAACTTAAACGCAGTAAACTGTTATCCTTGATTTTATGCAGTCTTTTCTAATTCGATTTTCTAAGGTAACTGAGAATGAGGTATCACATTAATGCCCCCTATACGGAGGGTTTTTATAATTGTGGCTTATTATATTTGGGTTAAATCGTAGCTCTGAAAACACCAATTTTCCATACCGTCATTAGCGGCCTTTCTTTATTTCTTTTACTGTCTCCTTTTTTCCCAAATTGTTCCTTTTCCTCTTCTTTGAATGTACAGGTTCCTTTAGAACCTTGACTATTTTCCCCCTTCCATCATCATCTCCCTCATCTCTTTTTTCACGTTCTCTCAATCAATGCTTCTGTCCCCACCCGACCTTTCTGCGACATCCCCCAAACCTT